CATCTCGTCTCAGAAACAACGTGACCTACAGCAAAGTTTTTGTGCGTAAATCAATGACTCTCGAAGAAAGGCTTCGCGAAAAAGAATTGCGCGCCACGGTTCGTGATCCCAACGTTAAAGAAGGTAAGCGCATTTATGTATTTTATAAAAGTGAAATTGTAAAAGTAGCAGATCTTCCTTCTCGTGTCAATGCTTCAAAAAACTGAAGGAAAACTCGGTTAGCAAGAGAGGTTTTTTGCTTAACGCTAGAAGTTTATTGAATAAGCTCCCACAACTCCAACACCTTCTTTCCGAATCTAAGCCAGCGATTGTATTGATTACTGAGTCATGGCTGACTTCAAATGTTGCTGATGGCGAGATTTATGGAGACTTGCCTTACATATTGATTGAAAAGATCGATCGGGAAGAAGGGGGGGGGGAGGTGTATGTGCCCTAATCAATAGTTCCATTCTTTTTTAAGAAGTCACGTTTTCTCTCAAGGGTCTCGTAGCGACCTTCTTTGTTTTGATTGCATATGTCATGATTCCTGTGTGAATGATTATCGATTCATCTTGACCTATCGACCTCCTTCGAGCACTGCAAGACAGGATGACCTGCTTCTGTCCTTGATATCTGATCTTGTATCCTCTTGCAAATCAGTAGTGATTCTGGCGGGAGATTTGAATCTGGATATTGATTGGTCCAACAATACCGCTGCGAATTTGATTTCAAGACACTTCCTTTCTACCTTTGGTTCCTTAGATATGATTCAAAATGTTCGTTTCCCTACCCGAGGGGAGCGGATACTTACTGTTGTTTTGACTAATGCGGAGTCCCTTACGGACTTTAGTTCGCATCCACCTTTAGGTAATTCTGATCACAACATTGTTGGTTCTTCTATGCCGGTCTTTAATGTTGAGCTGGCTGATACTACTTACTTGGATTTCAAGCATGCCAAAATAAATCAAATCAAATCTTCTTTATCTTCTACTGACTGATTCGAGGTTTTCGATAATTTTTTGGATATTAATGGTGCCTACACCCGTTTTCTTTGTATCTTGCATGGAATCATTGATCAATATGTACCACGTAAAACTCGCAGGCAGGGGTTAGAAAAGTATCCTGACCACATTCGAAATCTTTTTGAGCAAAGACAAAGAATATTTGAACAATCCCGTGACCCCTTGCACTGCGTAGCTTTTAAAACTGTTAGTCAGAACCTTGAACACCATTTGAAGAAGTCTATGTCGTACAAAACCAGATTGCTCACCAAGACTAAATACATGGAGGGGATCATCTCCTATGTCAAGGACAGCACAAAACGGTCAGTCTCTCATCCAGTGCTCATAGGTGAGGATGGATCTTTTTGCAGTGCCGATTTTGAAAAGCGGAGGCTTTCGCTGGTTTCTTTCGCAGTACTTTTACTTCCCATACAGAATGCAAAAATAACCTGGCTAAAGTGACAAATGAAAGCTTTAAGTTGCCTATTATCACACCCGAAATGGTTGCTAAACAAACCAAAACCCTAAAAACGTCACAGTCGATTACTTCTGACGGCATACCGCAGGTTTTTTACAAAATGTTTCCCACCCATCTCTCCGTTCCCCTTAGCCATATTTTCAACATTTCTCTCATGACAGGGGCGGTACCTAAACCTTGGAAAGCTGCAGTGGTGACACCGATCCCGAAAGAGAAAGAGTCTGCAACTGTTACCAACTACTGCCCCATCAGTATCCTCCCGGCATCACTAAAAGTTCTTGAGAGGATCATTAAGAAACATTTGCTCGAATGGTTAGATCACTTGAACCTTATTCCCACAGAGCAGCACGGATTTTTAGCAGGATCTTCCACCTGCTCACAGTTGATAGATTGCTTGCATATTTGGAATAAGGTACTAGGGGAAGGGAAAGGCGTGGATGTAGTCTATTTTGACCTCAGTAAAGCTTTTGACACTGTTTGTCACGAGTGCCTTTTAGGTAAATTGCAGAGTATAGGCATAGATTGCAATCTGCTAGAGTGGTTCCGTTCTTATCTCATGGACAGAAAGATGATAGTGCGCTTCTCTCAAGACTTTTCTTACCCTAGGGAATGCTTATCGGGCGTTCTACAGAGAGGGATACTGTCTCGCATACTTTTTCTCATTTATGCGTATGATTTACCTGCGTTCCTGAAAACGGATACGAGAATTTTTGTCCATGCATACGCGGATGACATCAAAGTCACTGCTGTTTATAGTGAAACAGAAAAAGAGGCAGTTCAGCTGGCTTTGACGGAATCAGTCGAGCGCATGTTGCATTGGACAAACTTCTGGAACCTCAAACTCAATTTTCGCAAAAGTCAGCACCTCCCTATTGGACCACTTTCATTAAACGTTTGTAACGATGAGCTAGGAAACATGTTAATGAGCAGGGAAATGCGGGACCTTGGCGTTCTAGTCTGCAAGGGCTTAAATTTTGAGAATCATGTGGACGCAGTGAGGCCAAGGGTTTAAAAGTTTTGCATTGTCTTTTTCGAAATGTGATGAGCTCGGATATTGTTCTTTGGATTAAGCTTTTCAAAATGTTCGTCCTGCCATTACTTGAATACTGTAGTCCGGTATGGAGCCCTTACCGTTCCAAAGATATTAATAAAATCGAAAATGTTCAAAGGATTTTTAATAGAGGCTCTATTACCGCGCCTTCCCTGACCCAGGCTATCCGCAAAATTCCTCCTTATAAGATTCGTTTACGCGAGTTGAATCTCAAGAGTCTTTCCTACAGAAGGGTCGAAGCGGACTTGATCTTAGCATACAAACTTCTTAGAGGCAAGCTTAGATCGAAACCCTCTAGCTATTGGTCGTTTCGTCCGGTGTTCGGGCGTCACGGCGGTTGAGCCTTTCGACTCAAGTTGCCTAGCTCAAACCGTTTCAGAAGAACAAGTTCCTTCTTTTTCAGAGTCGCCAAATGGCTGGAACGTTTACCAACTACTCTTTTATGCTTAAAAAATTCAGCACACAGCAAAAAAGCCTTTCGTAAAATGGAGATTCTGCAAGCGCTAGGCATTCACGACGTGGAATAGCTCCCCTGTTTGTTGTCTAGTTCAGTTCTATACTTTGAGTTGCACTATTGTTGTATAGTATAGTTTTCTTTGACCTGCAGTAAGCGAGGTTAATGAACCTCTCTCACGTTTCCTACCTCTCTCATGGACCTCACAGTTCGGGTTCAGTATTTTTTGTTGACTAACAAGGGAAATAAGGTTGGTCGAAGTGGCCTTTTGGAATGAAATGTATACTTTCTCGTAGAGCTTGGAACGCTGATTCCAAATCTGCCTTCGCTATCTGCTGCGGGCTTCTGGGCAAAGAGTTATGAAGGTTTTTGGGAGTAAAAAGTTAATTGTAAAATTAGTGTAAAATCAGTCGTAACATTTTTCCTAGGGCTTAAATAATAGTCGGGTCATTCGGTGCAACAAATATTCTTGATTCGAATATACCAACTCGCTGCTGCTCCATTTGAACGTCAGAAAAAGGTTACAACTGACTTTTATACTAATCTTGCACTTGAATTTTTACTCACAAAAACCTACATAACTTCTCGTCTAGAAGCCCACAGCAAATATCAAAGGTAGATTTGGAATCAGCGTTCCAAGTTCTACAAGACAGTATACATCTCATTTCAAAAGGCCACTTTGACACCTTCCTTTCCTTGTAAATAGTCTCACTTCTCATCATCCTCTTTCGGATCTTCAAATGAGTTTTTTAAAAGTTTGTGATCTGGTCTTTGCTTGTCTTTGCAATACAGTGATTGTGATGCTATTCCTGTGAATGTTTGGCATTGCTCTGCCTTCTTTCGCCTCTTGGGACGGCCTTGGGGGCCTGTGGGGGAGGGCGGGAGTATCGGCGAGCGGTGGTACTGGCTGCCCCCTGCCACTGCACCCGTTTCGGCTAGTCTGGCGGGGGCTGCCAGTATAGCCGGGCGCCGGGCTTCTGGTCCTTCCCCACGGGTTCATGGGGTTGTCTTGAGGAGGCGGGAGAAGGGTGATCAATGTTCTTTATTTTTAATTTTTTTCTTGCCTTTGCTGTGAGTCCTTCCACTGAGTGCAAAGTAAATCGCCTTGGATGCGGATGACCGATTCATTACTACGGTGCAACGATGTGTTATTTTGTTTCTTTTTTGTGTTTTGTCTAGCTCTCTCCGGTTGCTTTGAGATGTGTCGGGTTGTATGAAGCACGCCTTCGGGCGTATCAAATAAATAAATAAATGAATCTATATACGCCGTATTTTTACCGTATTTTTTTCCGTGTTAAAAATCAAGAAAACGGAAATTTTCGCGCATTTGCCAAAGTGGCGCTGTGTCGTTCCCACATAAGTAGTTGTATACTACAACCCTGTAGAAGTAATGTTCATTCGTTGGCCGCACGGACTGAGCATCACTGCGGACCACGCGCCGTGAGGTAAAACGCCTGCCCCAGTACAAATCCGCCATTGTACAAATCGTGCTCTCGCAACATTTTAGCCGCTCCGCGCGGGTCTGCCGCATTTGAGCAGTTCGTGCGGTCAATGAATCAACGATACAGACGTAAGTTTCCAGCTCTCTACAAGCTTTACTTCTCAAGAAATTTGAGTTTTAGCTTGGACCACATGACTAGAGAAAACTGTATTCGATATTTCTCGAGAACTAAAGCTTGTTGAAAGCTGGAAATATAAGAATTTTTGTAGGATTTTTATGAACTGAGTTACAATTTCTCTGAATTTTTCGGGCAGTTGAACTGTTTTAGTTTTTGGCTCGAAACTCGTGGTGGATCGGAGATGTTGCTAAAGCAAGATTGCCATCTTGTAGAGCTTGCTTTGCTCTATCGAATGTCGTTCTGCAACCTCCTAGAAATGAGAAGTGTATGACTTATTGCGGTTGGAATTCAAAAACCTGCACTAATTTCCGGACAACCTAATATCAATAACTATTTGAGACTTTCATCATGAACACTGCTCTTTCAAGTACCTCGAGCTAATAAAAGTTTTGTTGCATGAAGCTAGTGGGAAACTTACATCATCCAGTGTGTGCAATGAAACTCGAGACCGTCTATATGGCATCCCCTAAATTTTGAAATAGTTAGACGATATCATTGACGACACCTCAATTATATAAAGGCTTCTGCATGAAGAAGAGCAGAAGCAGTAACAGTTGAGCGGGCGCGAATGCGGCGGCGCGTATTTTTACCGTTGTAAATTCTGAGAATTGTGCGCTGGCTAATAAGGCCGCGTTGGCGCCCAAAGATATTGCGCTTTCGCCGTGCAGCAGCCTATACGTATATAAGTATCGTCTGCGCCCCAGAGAGGTTCCCATAGGTACCACGTCATCTCGCTGCCTTTCGCACTTCTGAACGTGTTAACCTCGGGCACTTCCGTTGAGATCTCAGGAGAAACGTGTCAAAAAGAGCGAAAGGCAGCGTCGCACCACGTACGCACGCTGGTTCACATGGGAACCTCTCTGGGGTGCAGACGGTACAGTCGAGTAGATTTCCTGCTTAATATAGTGTCCCTGCAGACGCGACAACGCTGGGGCGTCAATAATTGCCTGACGAGTTCCTGAGCGAGTGTTTTCCAGTGTTTTCTTTGCTTTTTCTTTGCTTTTTAGGTGATTCGCTGCTGATAAAGAAGAAAAGGGTAGGTTAGAGAGTAGTTATTGTTTTCTGAGAACTTCTATCATCGCATGTTCACAGATATCTACGTGGAAGCAGTTCGCGTCAGCTTCTTGTCTATTTTTTTGTCACTGGGTGCGTAGCAAGTGGTACCCGGGCAGCCGACTGCTCAGATAATCGCCGGGGGCAGGCGGCCATGCGATTTATGAGCGGGCGGGCACCGGAAAAATAGTTCGCTGATTTCTTGTGGTGCGCTTGCAGAAATTTGGAAGAATATTGGACATTTTTTGAGATAAAGTGTGGAGATCAATCATGGATTAGTTGCGGCGCAGCGGTCCCACCATCCTTGCATATTCTCGCGGACTTTCCGCGAGAATATCCAAGGATGGTGGGGCCGCACGGTCCTTTGTGGAGGACCGCGCAGCCCGTGGGTACCCTCCGCTGAGGGAAAGTCCCAAACTTGGGTAATAAAACCATCGATGGCACCTCTACCATTCGGAGACTCACCTTCGATCGGCGTACGCCCGAAACTGCGTTAAAAGAATCCAAGCGCCCGCTGAAATTTTGGCCAGCGCTCAGTGGAACAAATTATTTGACGAGCGCTCGTAGAAAATTATTTTATTGCTGTCCGCTGACAAAACACAGAAGTACCGCCCGCTGAATGTTTGGCCACGCCCCAAAATTTTGCTGACCGCTTGCAGAAGAGCGCGAGTTCGCGGACCGCCTGCCCCCGGCGATTATCTGAGTGCTACCGCAGCCAGCCGCCAGAGCTGGCGTCAACGCAGGCGCATACGGTAGGATAATTGCGCTAGCCGTCTGAAACTCTTCGACGAAAGATTTCTTCGCACCTCGTCGCGCTGAGGTGCGGTATCAGCCTCAGGGACAGCGCGATAATATCGATCTTATATATCAATATCTAAATCCTTTTAAACAGAAAATAATTCCTAGTTTATTGAGAACCATGCAAACACAACAAACAGACAGCTCTAAAAATTGCGGAACTATAGACATCAAGACAAAAAAGATAGACAAAAAGAAAAAAAAAGAAAAAGGAAGGAAGGAGACAGGTACGAAAAACTCATAAGCTAGTTAGCTTTGTCCTTATGTCTATCTAAAGGTATGCAGTTGTGACTTAGAAAACATGGATCTTTATCGAACAAGTTCTCAAAAATCTAAAAAGTGGTTTTTTATTTTATTTATTTTTTTCTTTTCACGCACAGCAACTGATGTGTATTTTTTGTTTTGTTTCTTGCGTCCATAGCATCTATATAAAGCCGTACCGGCTCTTGATGATTTCTTATGGTATTGGAGGACGTAACAGAGACGCGAACCAGGGATATCATACAAGATGACCGGATGAACTCTTTGTTCGCTTACCTTAAGTTCCCCGCGGAACTTCACTAGTTGAAGTGTACAACTGGGAGGGCAAAGGCAATTAATTCTAGATTATTAAATTTTTTCATGGAGTACCTGAAGAAATCATGGAATACCTGAAGAAGCGATGAATTCTCCACATACGCTTGTTGAGCCTGAGGCTCTTATTGAAGGCTGTATAGATTAGACATTTTGGTTCTTGATGACCTACTCTATTGTCTTTTATATCAGCATCAGTGACCTGCTCAATTTTTGACACACTTTGGCTCAGTCATTTGACCTAATCTGGCTTATCAGCTTTTTTATCATCATTAAGTCTTTGAATCCTCATTTAAACAAACCTTTTTTCTCCTTTGGACCGTCCTACTTCTTGGTTTTGAATTTTAAAAAACAAAATTTTTGATAACTAAATACTTTTTGAATTTTGAATTGATTCACCTTTTGGTCATTTTAAGAAATTGAAATTTTAAACCATTCTCCTTTAGGAAAACTTTACTCTGTGTAAATTTGTTCATTTTCATTTTATCAATAAACTAAGGATTTTTTGCTGATTAAAATGATATATATATTGATAACATTATTGATGATATCGCGCTGTCCCTGAGGCTGATATCGCACCTCAAAGCGATGAGGTGCGAGGAAACCTCTCGGCGGAGAGGTATCGACGGTTAGCATATATCCTACCGTATGCGGCTGCGCTGACGCCAGCTCTGGCGGCTGGCTGTGGCAGCAGTCGGCCGCCTGGGTACCACTTGCACGCCTCCCTTTTGTCACTTCATGTCTCTTTCTTCTTGTGAGGTACTTCTTTGAACGCTAGTGGGTTTTTACGAGTGACCTATTGTCTTTATCACATGAAGTACTTGATTAGAATGCTATTTCTTATGGATGAAAGGCGAAGTTATGCAAGACAAGCCAACTAGCGTTCAAAGAAACCTCACAAGAAGGAGGAGGTCTAAAAGAAGAAGTGACAGAAGAAAAGGTAATGACAAAAAATAGACAAGAAGCTGAATCGAAATGCTTCCACGTGGTATCTGTGAACATGCGATAATAGAAGTTCTCAGGAAACAGAAACTACTCACTAACTCACCCTTTTCCTCTTTATCAGCAACGAATCAACTAAAAAGCATGAAATAAGCAAAGAAAACACTGGAAAACACTAGCTCGGGAACTCGCAAGACAATTATTGACGCCCCTCGCGTCTGCAGAGACACTATATTAAGCAGGAAATCTACTCGATTGTATGTAAGGTCATTTGTAAAATCTTAACGACGGATTTGACTGCGGCTCTTGCTCCCACAAGAGCATAAAACACTCATACAAAAACATTACCTAAATGCTCAGCTCAATAATTCCATTGTCTATTCATAGGTAAGCAAAAAAACCATTTGAGTAGGGATGAGAACCAAGAAAACGCGGTTGCCGGAAGTGCGTGCTTGTCCCGCACGGTCGCGGTCAGGGCCCGGCACGCGTTGATTTGGAGGTTTTTAAGAAACGAAGTCCCCCATGACTTCGCGAAAATTTACGAAGTCCCTCTCGACGTGAAAATCAGTAGGGAAACCCTCATTCAACCAAAATAGCAACAAAAAAGCGAAAAAAGCGCATTTTGAGGTATATAATATAACAAAAAAGCAAAAAGAGAACATTTCGAGTCGATTACAGGCTCTGCCATTGGCAGGGTCAAGCGTGGGGTGCGGCACGCCACACCTGGGGGGGTCGTACTGAGGAGTCAAAAGGGGAGGGGGTCGTAGTTGGGTAATCTGATAATAGTGATAACATGATATTCGTATCATATCCATAATTAGCATGTCAATTAACCCCTATAGGCAAAGTGTGAGCGAATTCTGAAGATTCAAGATACTAGGCTACCTAAATAAAATGGTCAAATTCCAACATGGTTAACTTTGTTTCAAAGGTGAATTAGCTATCCGTTTTTGCACTCAAGACAAAGCACTACTCCTTCTTTGTCCACCGCAGGAATCCCGCTTCAGAAGACCTGCAAACTGTGGAATTAGAAGCTAACCAAAATCTCGTTTTCCCAACTTTTCGCTTTTAATCGCTGTGCTTTCACCAAATATTACTTAGAGCTAAGAAGACATATCCGACTCCAAATAGTCCTATGGAATCTACAAGGTTTAGGCTATCGATTCATGTAAATATTGTCCGCTAAAAATGTTTTTTTGATATAGTTAATGGGGTGCGGCACACCCCCTTGAAAGCTGCGGCTGCCGCAGCTTTTAAGGGGGTGTGCCGCACCCCCTCAACTTGCCTTCAAAATCCAGAAAGCGCTCCATTGCTGGTATGAGTATTGAGCACATAGCTTCTTCTTGCTACACTGGAAATTTGGAGCGGAACGCCCCATCCATAAGAAAATTATGGCCCTTTCAATATGCCCATTCAGATCAAAATCAGCCGTCAAATTACGTGTGATTGTAAAGTGCAGTCTCAGAAAATCGGGTGTACAGCTCTCACAAGGGAAGTCACTTAACTAGGTCGGACTTTTGAAATGAGACATATATATTTAGAATCAGCTCAGAACGCTGATTCCAAAAATGCTATCCTTAGCTGCGAAGCGTTTCTCTGAAGCGAGTTATGAGCTTTTTTAGTATGTGTCATTGACATACAACTGAATATGAAAAGAAAGTCTTTGGATGAAAATCTGCCCAAAAAGTGGTGGAAAATCAAAATAACATCAAATTGATTCATTTGGCTTTGACAGGGTATAATATGCGTTTGAACCAGTACCTAGATGATGATACCGTAGCATGCCTAAGTCACTCAACACGCAAAATTTGCACAGGAAAAAGCTCATAACTCGCTCAAGAGGAATGCTTCGCAGCTAAGGAAAGCAGATTTGAAATCAGCGTTTCAAGCTGATTCCAACCATATGTGTCTCATTTCAAAAGCCCGACCTAAGTTAAGTGACTTCCCTCGTCAGAAATCTGAAAACTCTCTAGAAAAAGATGGTGTCCTGCAGAATGTCGCACTTTGAAGTCCAGAGGTTAAGAGGAGGAAGAAGGAGTCGTTTGAGGGCTTTCATGGGAGGGGTAGGGGTTTCGAAAGACTTGTGCCTGACCTCTTTCT